TAATGGACATACAGAGAGATTGCAATCCCATCTCGGTGAGACCGAGATCCCTATCGGTGAGACCGATTTGCCTAGGGTTTGTGGCAGTGGCTATGACATCTGAACTCGGTGGCGCCGGATAGAAAGAATCGGTGAGGCCGAGTCTGACTTTTGGTTTAGGTCATATGTGGATGTGGGAAAGTAGTTGAGGGTTTTGGAGCATATCACTAAGCACTTTGAGCAAGAGCCTCATTAAGCAACACCTCATCCCTTCTTGATAGTATTGGCTTTTCCTATAGACTCAATGTGACCTTGGATCACTAAAATATAAAATGTAGAGTCTTGTGCTTGAAGCTTGAGCCAATCCTTTGTCCTTAGCATCTTGAAGGGGTTCCACATCCTTTAGTCCATGCCACTTCATTGTTGAACTTATTTGAAACATACTGGGTAAAAGTGTTAGTCCAACAAGAGATATGTTGACATTAATTACCAAAACCACCTAGGGAGCACTTGTGCTTTCACATGCACAGGCGGGACCCCCGCCTGGGAAGCCGGGCCGCCATGCACGTCGATCTGCATGGCTTGTACGTCGACCGTGGCTGAGCGCGGAGCATCACGGGAGGGTGAATCCTGCACAGGAGAAACGCTGGCTAGGCCAGAAGGATTAGTAGCCAAGTAGGTTAGGTCATAATTACGCACATGAGCACTCGTAGCCGGTTCTGTGGATGGAAAAGAAATAGCCTCGTCAAGTGTAGATACATCGACAGTGACACCGGGAGTAGCAAACGGAAAAACAAACTCGTCAAAGATAACGTCACACAAGATGTATATATGACCCGTAGATTGATCAAGACACTTGTACCCCTTATGCATAGGACTATATCCAAGAAAAACACACATCTGGGACCGAAATTCTAGTTTGTGTGAGTTATACTTCCGCAAACTAGGCCAACAAGCACACCCGAAAGTACGAAGAAAAGAATAGTTGGGTGGAATTTTCAGAAGACAATGAATAGGAGTATCTTGACCAAGCATGGGGGTGGGCATGCGGTTAATTAGGTAACACGCAGTTAGAAAAGCTTCATCCCAATAACGTAAAGGGAGAGACGAGTGAGCCAACAAAGCAAGACCAGTTTCAACCAAGTGTCGGTGTTTGCGCTCGGAAATGCCGTTCTGTTGGGAGGTGTGAGGGCAAGAGACTCGGTGAGAGATGCCCGTACGAAGAAAATAACGGTGCAACTTATGGTATTCACCACCCCAGTCAGATTGGACAGCTTTAAGCTTAGCATCCAAAAGGCGCTCAACATGTGCTTGAAAAGCATAGAACACCTGTTCAACATCAGACTTATGTTTTAGTAGATAGATCCAGCAAAACCGGGAGTAGTCATCAATAAAACTCACATAATACTTGTACCCCCCAGAGGAAGCACGAGCATGGCCCCAAACATCAGTATGAACTAATTCAAGAGGCATAGTAGACACACGAGCAGAAGAAGTATAAGATAGTTGACGACTTTTACCACATTGACAAGCATCACAAACTAAAGCATAAGTATCCGAGGTTGAACACTCGAGATCATTATTCCTAACAATGGAACTGATGACATTTTTGGACGGATGACCGAGACACTGATGCCACTGAGATGAGGGGACACGGACGCTGGACGACGCTTGACGCTCGGACAGATGCGAGGCTCGTCCGAGTGGAAGAGGGTAGAGCCCTCCTTTGCTTCTACCTCGAAGAAGAATTCTCCTGGTGGCTTTGTCCTTAACAAGGAAAAAATATTTATGAAATTCAATGAAGATACGATTATCCGACACAAGACGATAGACTGATAGAAGATGTTGGCTAATATTTGGAACATGTAAAATATTGTTCAGGCAAAAAGAAGAACTGACTAAAGTCGAGTGCCCAATATGCGAAATAGACAAACCTGAGCCGTTGGCCACCTGAACCTGATCATGGCCGCCGTAGCGCTCGCGGAACTGAAGACGCTCTAGGTCACTAGTCAGGTGATCTGTGGTGCCGGAGTCCAGAACCCAGTGCATGGAGTTGTTGGAGGAGGTCGATGCATTATATGCCGAGCGACCATTGCCGCTGGAGTAGTCTGAATCGAAGCGCTTCTTGCAGGTATCAGCTTCGTGACCCCAATTCTTGCAAATTTGGCACCTCGGGCGCCAGCGACTATTGCCGTTGAGGCCGTTGCCGCCTCCTCCACCGCCGTTGTTACGACGGTTGTTTTGGCCGCCGTGCTGGTAGCCCTGCCCCTGTTGCTGCGGGTAGCCTCCAGCGAGGCGGACGTCGGCGGCGCGACCAGTGTCAGGTGCTCGAGGACGGTTGACGGGGGCAGGAGCACCGGACCGTGCCACGGCGTTGGCCGACGAGGTCCACTCCTCATCGTCAGCCTGCTGCGACAGCTGCAACGCGTCATAGTTGAGAACCATGGAGTAGAACTCAGCCATCGCGACCGGGGTGACCACGACGCTGAGCGAAGCCGCGATTGGGTTGAAGGCCTTGCCCAATCCGGTGAGCATGAAGTCGATGATCTCGTCATCACGAGGGGGATCCAGCGGAGGCCATGGCGTCGGCAAGAGCCTCACCTTGTGCATGTACTCGCTGGCAGTCATGTCGTTCTTCTTCAGCGACTGAATCTGTCGCCAGATGTGCCAAACCCCGGCACGGTTCTGCGCGCTGAACATGGCGTGGATGGAGGTCCACGCGGAAGCATCGGACTTGCAGCTGATCAGCTGAGACGCAATGTCCTCCGTCATGGAGGAGAGGAGCATCCCGAGGACCTTCTGGTCCTGCGTCCACCATGTTGCATACGCAGGGTTCGCCACAGTGGTGGCTGCATCACCCGCCCCCTGGGAGATGGTTGTGGGCGGGGCAGCGACGGGGCCGTCGAGGTAGCCATGGAGAGAGGCACCGGAGAGATGCGTCACGGTGAGGGTTCGCCATAGCGGGAAGTTGCCGCGATCCAGTCGTACGCCAAGGGAGGGCGCGATGGACGGGACTGGCGTCGTCGCGACCGGAGGCGTCACCACAGGGCCGATAATGGCCAGCTGCATCGCTGCAGAAGAGGACCCGGACGCTATCGATCGAGGAACGGTGGCGAACAGGAGCTTCGCGAGACCGGGCGGCGACACGAGATCGGGGTGGCGGCGCGGCTTTGAGGAGAGGCGACGGCGCGATTGGAAAAGAGGCTCTGTTACCAAGTTTGGTTTTAGGGTTGCGTGGGGCATAGCCTCCACATACACATATATATATATATATATATATATATATATATATATATATATATATATATATGACAAGTACAAGACCGTTTCCAACATGATTTGCTTCAGATCTTGGTTCTCGAGTTTGAACTTCTAAAAAAATGGTAATCAGAGACGCAACATGACAGGATGTTATCAGTTGACACAAGGGGTGGAACTACTATTGGACATTGATTGCACGAAATTCACAATTGGGTCGACCTTGCTGCAAAAACACATTCTAAAATCTTCATACGACCGCCGGAAGAGTGATGCTGGAAAAAATATCGCACGCCATACATACTAGTAACAAGTAACTAGGTATAAACCATGTTTGAAATATGGCTTTGATGCTTGCATCCCTACCACTTTGTGGCCACATCAACGCTCAATCTCCGTCTGGTACGACATGTGATTAGGGTCCTTTTATGTTTTTGAAATCACAACGAGAAAGAAAAAAACATTAATTTTTAGGAGAAAAAATCAATCATGTAAGGTTCTTCTTTAGAAACACGTGATCATCAGTTTTTTTTTTCTTAAACATCATCTAAGGCCCTTTTTAGAAACTCAAGATCATCTTGATTTTTTTGGAGGGCTTGCAAGATCATCTAGATGAGTCACTTTGTTTTCCCTTTTTCTAGAAGAAGTCACTTTGTTTTCCCTTTTGCTGAGGGGTATAACTATGCTTTATTGGTCATGAAGTAGTATACAAAAAACATCATGGGGATGGATGAACCATAGATGTCAGCCCTGATCAAGAGTGTTTGAAAACTTAGCCAAACTATCTGCATCGGTGTTTGATGTCCGCCTTCAAAAGTAAATTTACAATTAATTAAACTAGCTTGCTGCTTAATCTCGCTAATGATACAACCATAAGTGTTACTAGACCCTCTTTCAGTGTCGTTCACCACCTGCTTTGAATCGAAGGCAATTATAACATTTTGAATCATCAAGTCTTCTGCCAGAGCCAAAGCTTCTCTGCATGCCATCGCCTCGAGGGTGGCTACATCGATGATTCCCCGGACAACAAGAGAGGAGCTGGCCGAATATCGTCCATCATCATCTCGGCACACTGCAAATGCCTCTCCTCTCAACTTGGACTTTGCCACGCTTGCATCGACGTTGATTTTTGCGTAATCTGGCTTGGATAATTACCCAATTCTGCAATCAAAACAGAGCACATATGAAAATATACACCTTTTAATTTTTTTTTGCACTTATTGATTCTGGATTTTGAAGAATACGCCATGCATGTTTAGCTAGGAGATCCAAATTAAGAAGTTCAAAATCAGCCCAGATGTGTCGCCGTTGTTCTTCTAATCTCATCCGGCGCCCTTGTCTCCTTCTCTGTTGTCATCTTCAGTTCTGATATGAACATTTCAATGAACTCGTGAGTGGCCGAAGGACTTTGAAAAATTTCTTTGTGTATCACTTTCCTCCGCGTCCACCATATGGTCCATAAGTGATCTATAGCTTAACAAATACCTCGTGTGATAATGAATCAATCACCGGGAACCGCCTAACTCAGCATTTGGTTGATTCGCCGCTGCCTGGCACTTGGTTGAGTTGTTTTCCCGGGGTGGTTCTTTTTTTTTTTAAGGGCATTTGAGCGGATCCAAATGTGTCTCTTTAGCCTAACTCAGCCCAGCCCAGCCCATCCAAGGCTCCTCAACGGTGGAGCAGACACCGCAGCACCAACGCGAACCCTCACCACTCTCTCCGTCTCGCACCATCCCCTCGCCGCCGGCGCCGCCGCCGCCGCCATGCTCCGGCTCCGTCGCGGCGTCCTCGCCCAGGTCCTCTCGTCTCTCTCCGCCTCTTCCGTACCCCCTCTCCACCGCCTCATCTCCGCCGCGGCGCCCGCCATCTCCCCAAACCCTAGCTTCGCCGTGGAGGAGTACGTCGTCTCCACCTGCGGCCTCACCCGACCACAGGCCCTCAAGGCCTCCGCCAAGCTCTCCCACCTCAAGTCCCCCGCAAATCCCGACGTCGTGCTTGCCTTCCTCGCCGACCTCGGCCTCTCCGACGCCGATGTCGCCGCCCTCGTCGCCAAGGACCCGCAGATCCTCTGCGCCAGCGTGGAGAGAACCCTGGCGCCCGTCGTCGCCGGGCTCTCTGGCCTCGGCTTATCGCGTTCCGACATCGCGCGCCTCGCCTCGCTCTCCCGTAGCAGCTTCCGCTATAGATCCATCGTCTCCAAGCTGCAGTACTACATGCCTCTCTTTGGGTCCTTTGAGAATCTCCTCCGAGCCCTCAAGAGGAACTTCTACCTTCACTCGGCTGACCTCGATGATGTGGTCAAGCCCAACGTCGCGTTGCTGCGGGAGTGCGGGCTAGGTGCTTGTGATATTGCCAAGCTATGCATCAGTAAACCATGGCTTCTCGCCGCCAACCTGGAGCGTGTCCAGGCGATGGTGGAATGCGCTGAAAACATAGGTGTGCCCCGTGCCTCTGGAATGTTCAGGCATGCGCTGCACGCTGTTGCATTTCTCAGCGAGGACAAGATCGCAGCCAGGGTGAACTACTTGAAGAACACCTTCAGGTGGACGGATGCTGAGGTAGGCATGGCTGTTTCTAAGTATCCAACGGTGCTGAATAGGACTAAGGAGTTTCTGCAGAGAAGGTCAGAGTTCCTGATCTCTGATTTGGGGTTGGAACCGGCATACATTGCTCATCGCCCGCTAATGCTCGCATACAGCCTGGAGGGGAGGCTAAGGCCCCGATACTACGTTGTAACTTTTCTTAAGGAGAATGGATTGCTAGATCATGGTCGAGATTACTATTATGCAGTTAAGATGACTGAGAAGGTATTCATGGAGAAGTTCATATGCCCTCACAAGGACGCTGCACCATACCTTGCTGAAGACTATGTAGCAGCTTGCAGAGGGGAATTGCCGCCTAGATTCAGATTTACATGAAGCAAGGAAAGGCTATGGAAATTGGTAACTGTGTATGTCATGACAGACTTTTCACTATTCTTAGTAAGCTGGCAATTCACATTAGTGTATTCTGCCTAAACAGATACTCCCTCCATCTGGTAATACTTGTCGGAGAAATGGATGTATCTAGACGTATTTTAGTTCTAAATACATCCATTTTTATTCATTTTTGCGACAAGTATTTCCAGACGGAGGGAGTATTAGTTTTCTGCTGTACTATGTCTTCCACATGCTGGTTTGGTCGTTGCTAATACCTAATGAATTGATAGTTTAATTCATGAACACCTTGGTGTTGATGTTATGATGTTTGTCGTTAAGTAGACATGAAAGCATCACCTCCAATCCCTCAAAATGAGAGTACATGAATATATTTGTGTTTCCAACCTCCAATCCTGCAAGGAAAACCCTATGTATCCATACATACTAGGACTGAACTCTTTCTTTTATTTGTGCCGTTCCTGTCCGCACACAAACACATGTTATGGTTGAGGTGATAGGGCTATTCGCTCTTCATCTGGTAGCACAAGGAAAAAGACCTGGGAAGCACAGGAGGTGATAATGGTTCTTGTAGCATGACTAGGTTTAATTCCGTTACATGCATGGTACAACATATCAGTCGAATTCCAGAGGGCTTGATCCTTGCCTCCTTTGTACATACAATCTATATACAGCTTTGCCTTAAAGGGCTCATCAGTAACATCAGTTGCTCTTTCTGGGGTTCTCTGTGACCTGTTTGCACTGTCTGAAACAAAGAGGAAAGATACCCGTCACAGTCATAATTCTTTCATTAGACTCAGTTCTCGTGATTACCTGATCCCATTCATTCTTTCAGGTAGCAGTCGCCGGTTATTTTAAAAGCTTGTCTACCAGGGACCGTGTGTCTAATTCTGTATGCCAACTAGAGAAGACATGTCACACATAGGTTGTACTTGTCGAATAGGTGACATTTACCTGGAAATATTGTTTGAATCTAATCCACCCAAACTCAAAGTCTTCAAGTTAATGAATTTAGACGTTGCTTTCTTTCTAGTAGGAAAAGATATGCTGACATTAGTTTCAGGTGCAGGCCGCCTAAACGAGGCAGAAGACTGGTCTCGCTTCGGGGCACACTGCAGACGCATAGGTAATTTAAGCCTGAAATTGCTCACTTTAAGCCTGAAGGGCTGGCTAAGACCCCGATACTATGTTGTTAAGTTTCTTAAGGAAAATGGATTGCTAGGTTGCAGCCGGGATTACTATTACACAGTCAAGGTGACCGGGAAGGAATCTATGGAGAAGTTCATATGCCCTCACAAGGAAGCTGCACCACACCTCACTGAAGATTATGCGGCAGCCTGGAAAGGTGAAGTGCCGACTAGATTCAGATTTGCCTGAACCAAGACTGGTCTCGGAGGACTGTAACTTTAAACCCCTCTTTCCAATGAAATGAAGCGCAAGCCCCCTTTGCGTTTTCTCGATTTTTTTTTTCCTAACTGCATATGGAGAACAAAATTTTCACTCTCCGTATTAGGCTATTCATTCCTGATTCAGTGTTGTTGGCTGCTATCTATAATCTATTGTATGTCTGTTAGACTGTTACATGCTCATTTGGCAGTGCTAATTCAGGATGACACTGATATTTATTTAGGGGAGATGAAACTGATAATTTGGTTTGTGAGTCTTGGTGTGTTCATTATGCCATTTAGTAGACAAGAAAGCATTGCATTGCTGTGAACTTGTCCTTTGTCATTTCATATTGACATGCATATTGGAACTAAGAGAGTGAGATCATTGCATCCTACAACTGTTTTGAAGTATCGGTGAGTAATATTGCTGCACACTCTTTATCTTTACATTCTCAAATGACCATCACAGTTTTCAATGCAATCCTCAATCTATCTTTCCATGAAAGAATGTTCTCACTCTGGCCACGAAGATGATAAAAAATCTCAAACTTCCCTTCAGATGAAAATTTTGGACTAATTTTTCCGTGGGAAACAATTTTGGATTTGTTGATGGCCAGTTGGCCGCAGTTTGTTGATCACTGCAGAGGATGCAATTTTGTTCTAGTTTGTTGGTTTCTTGCCATAGCTCTTCTAAGCTGAAAATCTTCATCCTTCCTGTAGTAGCTTTGTTTATAAGATATTAACTGTGCTGAAAGCATGCCATTCTTTACTACTCCCTCTCTCTCAGTTTACAGGGCGTGCGCGTAACCCTAGGTCGTCAATTTGACCAACCTAGTACAAGTCATATATTACAAAAAATATACCAATATAAACTTCAGATGTTCTATTTTCAAATGGTATAATTTTTGTGTTATATAGTTTAATATTATGGTGATAAAATTGGCCGCTGCAGCCAAACTACCACTAGTGAAAACCACAAGTGCCAAAATACCACTATGAAAAACCAAAGTGCCAAAATAGCACTCACTTGAAAATTTTCATGCCAAGATACCACTATGAGCTAACTGAGACTAACAGATGAGTAAAAATACTACTTTGCCCTTTTACTGTGCGCTTTTGGCTGGACAAGGGAAAGGGGCCGGCGCCGATGGAATCCACCAGCAAGAGGCATGTCTCCCTCCTCCGCATTGTCAGGCGCAGCCGCACCACCGAGCTCGCCGCCGCCCGGCCGCACCTCGACTTTGCCACCTGCTCTGCGCGCCACCTCCGGGCTCCGGCCGCCACCACCGCTGATGCTGCCTCAGCCCTGTTGGCCGTTCTGCCTCGCACTCGCACCATCAGCAGCTATAGCAAGCGGCGGTGGCGTCGTGCAACCACATGACGCACTTAGCTTATGGCAAGCAACAACAAGCAGCACACACGCATAGTATCGAGCAAGATCCAGCGGCCGCGGCGGTAGCATACTCCACGCGCGGTTCCGGAGCAAGGAGGTGACACGGCGTCATCCGCAGTGAGGTGGCGATGGGTTGGATGTGGGGAGGAGCTGGGTGGGCATGGCGTCACGCACGACATGGTGGGCGCCTGGGCGGTGCTGCGTGCGCTGCAAAGTGGCGGCTCCATGTCGCTGGGAACGGCGTGGAACAGGGCGGCCGGCTTGCCGTGGCTAGAGCTCGGGCCGACGAAACAATTTCCGGCCACTTTGACCAGTACAAGCCCCATGGCCACGGCAGCAGCGCACACACTTAGAGATAGGATGAAGGGTACTTTTGGCAAGGTAGAAAAAACTGACAGCTCCATCCACCGTTGACTAACAGAATATGTTTGACAATAGACGGTAGTGCTATCTTGGTATGAAAAACCTGAACTTGAGTGCTATTTTGGCACTTCGGTTTTCCATAGTGGTATTTTGGCACTTGTGGTTTCCACCAATGGTATTGTGGCTATTCTCTCATTGATGATGCCCTGAAGCTTCAGTGACATCTTCTGTTGGCATGAGTTTTATTCAGGTAAGCTCCTACTTTTCTCTTTCTGAAGTCTTGCAATTTAAGTAATCCTTCTAGTATTGTACTACAGATTTGGATAAACTAGTAGCATTTGGTGCTTTAATCAATTTTGTACTTTTCGTTGGATCTTCACTTGGATGTAAACAATTTGAACTGAGTCATGCATGCATGTAAACAGTAAGCGTTATGTATATTTTGTACTCTGAACTCTGAATTTGATTTAGAGCTGAACGTTAGCCCTGAATCTTTCAGACTTCATGTGTGAACTCTGAAACTTATCATGCCCAAGTCAAGTGTGAAGCTACATAGTAAGTGTGTGTTTAAAAATCTTTCAGGAGCCAAGTTAACTCTGAAAAACAGAGATCTTACAACAATTTTTTTTAACAGTGCCTTTCAACAGTGGCATGTTTCATATTTGGCTGCAGAACCTAATAATATGGCCAAGTTCTACGTGTGATTTGCTTCGACGCTTCCGAGCCACAACTATTTTATCAGTATTTTGTATTATCATAGCGGCATCTGTATGACACGAGCTCTTACGTTTTCTGAACATTGGGACTGGGCTTAACTAATTATGTTGAGAAATCACTTACCTTAAACTACATCAGTGATTAGAGGACTTTGAGCGAAAAGCTCTTGTGTCTTCTTCATAAATGTCTAATTTAGTATATTAAAATGTGCATATTTTCGTACAGGTTCATTGCCTTTAGTATATTAAAATGTGCATATTTTTTGTACAGGTTCACTAGAAGTATATGAGGCACGTGATGAAATACAAGTGCAAATGCTATCTGATTTGCACCATTCTTATTTCTGGAATCTATTTCTCCAACATTTATGCATATTCGTTTAGAGTAGATAAATAATCCCACTAGTGAACTTATTACATGAAGGCAATGTGCTGACAGTTGATGATAAGTTACGGCTCTTGAAATACTCCCGAAAATTATATCAATTATCTCTATGGAGCAGAGATGAAAAAACTCACAGAAGAGGCATGATGAGCACGACGAGACCACCACAATCGTCAGGATGACCAGGAGAAGAGCATCAACTGGGGGATGTAGTAGTGGTAATTTTGTTTCCAGAGCAAACTCAGCAAGGTTGTATACCAACTCAACTTTACACGAAAAGCTTTGCCTTATAATCAGAGATTCATCCAGGGATTGGTCATGGCTATAAATTGATGAGTCTAATAAACAGGGGCTGGGTTGAACATGGACAGGTATGGTGCCACGGACGGGGATTCAGTTCAACTAAATAAATAATCAGAGAGAAGAGCAAGCACAAGATAGTCCAAACTACAACCACATCAAAGTCCTCTTTCGTTCCTTTGGTTATTGCTAGGTCCTGATGAAACTGATACTTTTGTTCCTTGATGGCAGTATGGCACGGATTTGAACGTTTTCATCCCCATCTCATGGTGGCACCACATGTTGGAATGGAGAAATTATGAGATCAAGCAATTATTCAATGCATTAAAAATGCTAATATTTCAGTTTACTAGGTGGTTTCCTGCAAGAATTCTAGTATTTTCACTGAGCAGACCATGAAGTTATTATTTCTCGGCTGTCCATGCAAATGTTTAAAT